CCTTTGAGAACTTACAAGGTTCAAAAGGTTATTTCGTGGTAGCGTCTCAACCATAATCTGGGCTCGTGTAGCTATTGATTTGTCGGCAGTCGACACCGCCTTACTCAGAGATAGACACGAGACGGCGTCTGTCGTGTAGCGGTTATGTGCTTCACTGTAGCACGCAGGAGACCCCAGCTCGATTCCACAGTGGGGAGAAATTTTATCGAGTTTCTCGGTCTTACTGCTGAGATGTCCAATCCCTTTCAGTCCGGGTTGGTCGGAACCTGCCTTCTTAATGATATAATTTGTGTCGACGGGGGCATAAAAACATCTACATTAAAATAAAAATAAAAAAGAAATAGAAACGAAACAGGCAGGGGCGGGCGGGCGAAGTCGATGCCTCACAAGTTACAGAAAACAAAAACCCCAAAGAAGAAAGAAGGTACAAAAACAACACACTACAATATAAACATCACCAATGCGCTTCATAGCTTTCATATTCAGTCGAACAAGCTGACACGATATTTCATCATTATTTCTGCTAATCCAATCCGATGAAGCTGAAAAGGCATGACTTCGGTAAAAAGAGGTCACAGTGGCATTTATAAAAACAAAATTATGAGCACAAATTAGACACGTGTACATTCTGTATAAAACATTTCTTGCGCCAAAGCAGGTATCTTCAATGCCGGGACAGAGACATGCGGCCTCCTTATTTTCAGCTCCCCTGCAGTCAACCCCCCCCCCCAAAAAAAAAAAAAGCTTGTAATATTTGACACTTCTGACATTTAGGACATGCGTAAACGAAAAAAAAAAGCATCACACATGTATACAAAATGTTGGATGGAAGACAGGCCTTTACCTGTTGCTCAATGCGCTCGGCACAAAAAATCTAAGCGGGTCAAAAAGACAAGGAGATCATGGCAAAACTGTCGACCTCCAGACGACGAGGACGTTTCCACGTCACTTCCACAGCTCAGCAGAAGATTGGCGGATTTCGGGCACAAGACATGCTGTAAAAGCGTTGCCGGAAAGGGTAAACAGACCGGTCGGCACCAGGGAATGTGTGTGTGTGTGTGTGTGTGTGTGTGTGAGTGTGTGTGTGTGTGTGTGCGTGTGTGTGTGTGAGTGTGAGTGTGTGTGTGTGTGTATATG